GTTGAATGTTGTGTGGCTCTGATCACATTTTGACAAATTATTATCATTATCATTTATTAAAGCTGTATACTGCCCTTCAGGGCAGTTCGCAACATAAAATCATGATATAAAAATCACAAAATACATAATAAAAATGAAATCAAAGGCAGACCCAATCATTACCACTTCCACAACACATTTAAAGGGGCATTGAATGACAATCAACCAAAGGCCTGGTTAAAGAGGAACATTTTTGCCGGGCGCTTAAAGGTGCATAATGAAGGCATCAGTCAAGCATCCCTGGGGAGGACATTTCACAAACGGAGCCACTGCAGAAAAGGCCCTGTTCTTGTGTTGCCACCCTCTGGACCTCTTGTGGAGGAGGCACATGAAGAAGGGCCTCTGATGATGATCAGAGGGTCTGGGTCAGTTCCTATGGGGAGAGGTGGTCCTTGAGGTATTGCAGTCCTGGGCCATTTAAGGCTTTATAGGTTAAAAGCTGCACTGTGAATTGGGCACAGAAACTAATTGGCAGCCGGTGCAGTCGGACCAGGATCAGCGTAATATGCTCAAACCGTCTTGTCCCAGTGAGCAACCTGGCCATTGAATTCTGTACCAGCTGAAGTTTCTGAACCGTCTTCAGAGGCAGCCCTACATATAAAACATTGCAGTAATCTAACCTAGAGGTTACTAGAGCATAGACAGTAGTTAGACTATCCCTGTCCAGATAGGGGCGTAGCTGGATCACCAGCTGAAGCTGATGGAAGGCACTCCAGGCCACTTGAGGCCACCTGAGCTTTGAGCGACAGCAAATGATCCAGGAGGACCCCCAAGCTATGTACCCGATCCTTCAGAGGGAGAGCAACCCCATCAAGAGCAGGCAACCTCCCCGACATCCAGTCTAGGGAACTGCCCACTAACAGTGCCTCCATCTAATCTGGATTGACCTTCAGTTTGTTAGCTCTCATTCAGTCCATTAGTGAGGAAGTCCAGCATTTCCACTGCCTCACCTGCTGATGTAAAGGAGAAGTAGAGCTGTGTGTCATCAGCAAATTGCTGACAACGTACTCCAGAACGCCAAATAACCCCACTCAACGGTTTCATGTATATTTTAAGCAGCGTAGGGCATGGGTAGGCAAACTAAGGTCCGGGGGCCGGATCCGGCCCAATCACCTTCTAAATTCGGCCCACGGACGGTCCAGGAATCAGCGTGTTTTTACATGAGTAGAATGTGTGCTTTTATTTAAAATGCATCTCTGGGTTATTTGTGGGGCATAGGAATTCATATATTTTTTTCAAAATATAGTCCGGCCCCCCCACAAGGTCTGAGGGACACCAGCCCCCTCCTGAAAAAGTTTGCTGACCCCTGGCGTAGGGAATAAAAACGAACATGAGGAACCCCACACTGAAGGCTCCATGGAGCTGAAGAGCGTTTCCCAAGCATCACCCTCTGGAAATGACCATCCAACTGAGTCTATCTAGCAATACAACTCTCTGGTCTTTATCCTCTTCATGTTCTAACTAGCAGCCATGCATAACTATGTTTGACTGCTATCTCCTACAGTGACATTGTCGTGCTTTAAACATATGGTACAGATGTGGCCACAGTCTTTGGAAGAGCCAGACTCTGCCTCCCATTCCGCAAAGTACGGTACTCAACTGCGTGAAGAAAGATGAAAGCCAACTTGGATGGCTAGCTGGCTTCCATACAGTAAAGCAAACAGAAGCTGCCAACAACTCAGATTAGGATACCTGCCTCTGGAGCATCGCATATGAGAAGCTTCTTTCCAGGCAAAGTGAAGTAATGTTCAAGTGGTGTCACCTGGGTCTTAATCATCTGTGGCTGAAGCATATCCACCACGGTGATGCTCCCTTCCATGTGTTCTTCGTAAATGCAATGGCATAAAGGTGGTCACTAGTGCAAAACAATGAAACCTCCTCATCTGAGTATCTGTGGGATCAATTGCACTCTGCAAAGCAGCTGTTCTTGGAAACATTTTCAAGGAAACTACAAATCATGTCATTTTAGTGTGTGACGAAATACAGTATATTTCTGTCACTTTTTAAGTAAAAAAAAGAAACCATTTGGATTGAAATGTTGTTTTGTTTGTGTTTTGTTTTTGTTTTTGAGCTACTGTCAAACCAGCCAGTTAAGTACAACTGCTATGCAAGTAACCATTAGAACATTGATTGTAGCTTGTATTCATGTTGCTCTGCCGCCCCACCCAAACTATTTCCTTTAAATGAACAGGACCTTTGCATTGTGTATATATATGGCATTTATACATATATATATATATATATATATATATATATATATAGCAGAAGAATGTTCTCAGAGCAATTTACAAAATTCAGGACAAAGAAGATCCCGGCCATGACACGCAAAGAAAAGAGAATGGGGAGGGCAGAGGAAAAAAGCAAGCTCAAGCACAAGTTCTTAAAGGAACAGTGATTCTATATCGCCCTGTCCACGCTCATTCTGGCTAAGTAGAAGAACAGCAGCTCCTCGTCAGTGTCTGTAGGGTGGGTGCTAGGATGGCTGGGGTCAATTAGTCATAGAATCATAGAATCATGGAGTTGGAAGAGACCACAAGGGCCATCGAGTCCAACCCCCTGCCAAGCAGGAAACACCATCAGAGCACTCCTGACATATGGTTGTCAAGCCTCTGCTTTAAGACCTCCAAAGAAGGAGACTCCACCACACTCCTTGGCAGCAAATTCCACTGTCAAACAGCTCTCACTGTCAGGAAGTTCTTCCTAATGTTTAGGTGGAATCTTCTTTCTTGTAGTTTGGATCCATTGCTCCGTGTCCGCTTCTCTGGAGCAGCAGAAAACAACCTTTCTCCCTCCTCTATGTGACATCCTTTTATATATTTGAATATGGCTATCATATCACCCCTTAACCTCCTCTTCTCCAGGCTAAACATGCCCAGCTCCCTTAGCTGTTCCTCATAGGGCATCGTTTCCAAGCCTTTGACCATTTTGGTTGCCCTCCTCTGGACACGTTCCAGTTTGTCAGTGTCCTTCTTGAACTGTGGTACCCAGAACTGGACACAGTACTCCAGGGGAGGTCTGACCAGAGCAGAATACAGTGGCACTATTACTTCCCTTGATCTAGATGCTATACTCCTATTGATGCAGCCCAGAATTGCATTGGCTTTTTAGCTGCCACGTCACACTGTTGGCTCATGTCAAGTTTGTGGTCAACCAAGACTCCTAGATCCTTTTCACATGTACTGCTCTCAAGCCAGGAGTCACCCATCTTGTATTTGTGCCTCTCATTTCTTTTGCCCAAGTGCAATACTTTACATTTCTCCCTGTTAAAATTCATCTTGTTTGTTTTTGCCCAGTTCTCTAATCTGTCAAGGTCGTTTTGAAGTGTGATCCTGTCCTCTGGGGTGTTAGCCACCCCTCCCAGTTTGGTGTCATCTGCAAATTTGATCAGGATGCCCTTGAGTCCATCATCCAAGTCGTTGATAAAGATGTTGAATAAGACCGGGCCCAAGACAGAACCCTGTGGCACCCCGCTAGTCACTCTTCTCCAGGATGAAGAGGAACCATTGATGAGCACCCTTTGGGTTCGGTCAGTCAGCCAGTTACAAATCCACTGAGTGGTAGTCCAAAGCATTTGAAGTGCACTAGGTTCAGGAAGGCTGCTTTTGAGGGAGTTGTGGGGGAAGGACAAACTTGGCCATTCCACCGCCTCTCCTGCAACAGGCTGAGCTCTGCAAGCCAGCTTCGTAGCACACGGGTGTGGACTACACAGGGCCCAAACCCACAATCCTGGCAATAAAAGTCTCACACCCTACCGACTGAGCTATCCTAGCTTTTAGAGCCTCCTGGATCAGGTCAGTGGCCAACACAGTCCAGCATCCTGTTCTCACAGTGGCCAACCAGATGCCTGTGGGCAGTGCTTTTTTCTGGGGGTACGCAGGGGTACTCATACCCCTAAACATTTTGTGAATCTTTATACAGTGGTGCCTCGCAAGACGAAATTAATTCGTTCTGCGAGTTTTTGGTCTTGCGATTTTTTTCGTCTTGGGAAGCACGGTTTTAACGGTATTAACGGTTTTAAGAAAAAGGAAACAAACTCGCAAGATGTTTTCGTCTTGCGAAGCAAGCCCATAGGGAAATTCGTCTTGAGAAGCAACTCAAAAAACGAAAAACTCTTTCGTCTTGTGCGTTTTTCGTCTTGCGAGGCATTCGTCTTGCGAGGTACCACTGTACTTTTGTCCATTTACTGTATTTATTTTCCCTGATTTGAACTATAAAATGGTGGTTTTCTTGAGTCAAAATGAGAGTACAGTGGGTGCTCGGGTTGTGAATGTGATCCGTGTGGGATGCACGTTCACAACCCGCATCTGCGCATGCGCGGATTGTGATTCGGCGCTTCTGCACATGCGCGACCGCCGAAACCCAGAAGTAACCTGTTCCTGTACTTCCAGGTTTTGGCGGTCCATAACCTGAAAAACACAGCCTGAAGCGTCTGCAACCTGAGGTATGACTGTACCCCTAAACATTTTTAAAGAAAAAAAGCACTCCTGTGGGAAACCAGCAAGCAGGATGTAAACACAAGACCACTCTCTTCCCTCCTGTGATTTCCAGCAACTGGTTTTCAGAAGCATTTCTGCCTCCAACTGTGGAGGCAAAATAAAGCCATTATCAATTGATAGTATTACCCTTTTTGAATTTGTCCAGTCCTCTTTTGAAGCCCTCTAGGGTGGTGGTCATTACTGCCTCCTGTGGCAATGAGTTCCATAGTGCTGCGTGAAGAAGAACATTCTTTTATCTGTCCTGAGCCTTCCAACGGTCAGCTTCATTGGATATCCACCACTTCTAGCATTATGAGAGAAGGAGAAAAACTTTGCCCGCTTCCTCCATGGCTAGCACAAATTTATAAGCTTCTCATGTCACCAGTTACTCAGCTTTTCTCATAGGGGGAATCACCCCCATTCCCCTCAACCATTTTGGTTCTTGGTCATATTTCAGGGGGTGACCCCCCACCCCAAGACTGGTAATGGGGTATCTCCGTCGGTAGAGCATGAGACTCTTAATCTCAGGGTTGTGGGTTCGAGTCCCACACTGGGCAAAAGATTCCTGGATTGCAGGGGGTTGGACTAGATGACTTCATGGTCCCTCCCAACTCTACAATTCTATTATTTCATGTTGCCAAACTCCCAGCAGCCAGCATGGTCACTGGTCAGGGGTGTCAGGAATTGGAGTCCAGTACAGTGGTACCTCAGGTTAAGAACTTAATTCGTTCTGGAGGTCCGTTCTTAACCTGAAACTGTTCTTAACCTGAGGTGCCACTTTAGCTAATGGGGCCTCCTGCTGCCACCCCATGATTTCTGTTCTCATCCTGAAGCAAAATTCTTAACCTAAGGTATTATTTCTGGGTTAGCGGAGTCTGTCACCTGAAGCGTATGTAACCGGAAGCGTATATAACCCGAGGTACCACTGCTAGTGAACCACAGGTTCACGCAGCCTATGACCTGCCCTCTGCGCAGAAGTGCTGCTGGCGGCGGGGTTTTTTAATGCTTGGTGGACTCTCCTACGTGAGACACGCCACCACTGCTTCTGACTCACAGCTGCAAGGGGTGACCCCCAGGCCACACCGCGTGCTTTCCTGGAGGCGAGAACCGCCACCCCTACTTATCAGTATTAGTTCATGCGCTAGCTTTCTCAGAAAAGCACAACCATTCTTCTCCCTCCCATTGTTGTGCTGTCTGGCTGCAAAAAGGGAGGTCTGTGGCACACGGCACGTCCGAGGCCCAGGCTCCTGAGAGGCGGGGGGGCCCTGTCCCACCACACCGTCCCCTCGAAGGATGGGAAGCCCGGCAGCTCTGCTTCCCAGGCATGTCTGAAGCTCCGAGGACCCTCACTGATCTGGAGCGAAATTCTCACACAGTAGCTGCATCCAGAGCTCATAAATCTCTTTCTGTCTTGGCTCCTGCACCTTGTGAGTCGAGGACCTGCCACCCACGTAGGATTATAATAAGACACAGTAAAGGTAAAGGGACCCCTGACCATTAGGTCCAGTCGTGACCGACTCTGGGGTTGCGGCGCTCATCTCGCTTTACTGGTCAAGAGAGCCGGCGTGCAGCTTCCGGGTCATATGGTCAGCATGACTAAGCCATTTCTGGCGAACCAGAGCAGCGCACAGAAATGCCGTTTACCTTCCCGCTGGAGTGGTACCTATTCATCTACTTGTACTTTGATGTGCTTTCGAACTGCTAGGTGGGCAGGAGCAGGGACCAAGCAACGGGAGCTCACCCCATCGCAGGGATTCGAACCGCCGACCTTCTGATCAGCAAATCCTAGGCTCTGTGGTTTAACCCACAGTGCCACCCGCATCCCATATAATAAGACACAGAGACACATTATTTTAGGTTAATGGGCAAAATTAGGTCACAGCTTTTATTGGTTACAGCATGTGAGTAGTATTGGCTTAGACATTGGATGAAACAGCAATACAAGACGCCACGGGAGTCATATCAGGGTTTACAACCAATGGGAGGAGCTTGTTGATGCAAATACAACTGGAAACTCTCCCATGACATCACCAGGGTCGTGCCATGGCTCTAACCAACAGCAGGGCATCGGACAGGATCCACGACTGCTGGATTCCTTCACTGGAATACCCATAAGAGGAGGGGTAGATGATGGCCCATACCCAATCCTCCAACACAGCACACATATTCCAATGCCTAACCGCCAATACCAGGAAGTTGTGACAAATTGCTACGAGGTAGGCGAAAAAAAGGGACGCAGGTGGCGCTGTGGGTTAAACCACAGAGCCTAGGGCTTGCCGATCAGAAGGTCGGCGGTTCAAATCCCCGCAACGGGGTGAGCTCCCGTTGCTCGGTCCCTGCTCCTGCCATCTAGCAGTTCGAAAGCACGTCAAAGTGCAAGTAGATAAATAGGTACCACTCCGGCAGGAAGGTAACTGGCATCTCCGTACACTGCTCTGGTTCGCCAGAAGCGGCTTAGTCAGCTGTACGCCAGCTCCCTCGGCCAATAGAGTGAGATGAGCGCCGCAACCCCAGAGTCAGTCACGTTCCTGTTTTCATCAGAGAAATGTTGGAGGGCATGGAGTTATGGGACCCCACTGAGCCAAGGAGATAAGTAACTATGCAACCTTTAGAAGACATCTGAAGGCAGCCCTGTATGTGGAAGTTTTTTAATGTTTCATGTTTTATTATGTTTTTATATACGTTGGAAGCCTCCCAGAGTGGCTGGGGCAACTCAGTCAGATGGGTGGGATATTATTATTATTATTATTATTATTATTATTATGGAATAGGACATCCACATTTTCATCGGAGAAATGTTGAAGGGTATGCAACATTACCAAGCCAAGTCGACCAGTGCTCTGACCTGGTTATAAACCTGTTTCTGCATTTGCGTCTTGGGCAACTTGCTTGCCTCTCTGCCTTTTGTGAAATGGATTGTCGCAGGGAATTCCCAGCAGCCAGGCTGACCACAGGGTGACTGGAGATGACGAAAGAGTGCGGGCATTTGTTTTGGCTCCTCCGTGGCCTGTATGCACCCCTTCTTATCTACTCAGACGGATCTGGGATGGGCACCCAGAAAAACCAATGGCCTCAGGCATGTGCTTGAGGCTGGTTGGTTGATGGAAGGAGCCCATGAGAACATAAAAACATGACGCTGGCCCATCTTGACGGGCATCGTGTCTTCGTGGTGAGAGATGCCTGTGGGAAGCCTTTAGGCTGAGCAAAAAAAGCAGCCTCGCCTCCTGCGGCTTCCAGCAACTGGCATTCATAAGCACTGCTGCTATGCTGGGCCCGGGTGTAATCCGTGAAACGCGGTCCAAGACCAGTCCAGAATCCAAAGGTTCCACTAGGAGTCAGTCCAACAGGGCCAAGGCACAACGCGAGGCAGGAAACCAGGCAAGGACAGGTACAGGATCTGGCATACACCAAGTTTGCTCCCGCAACCTGGGGCGGGGTCTGACAGCCTTTTATCTTTCTCAGGGTAGCAGCTGGTCCTGATCCCCCGGCGACTCACCTCCCTGTTTCACCTGAAGGCGAGCACTCTTCCTGCAAATATTCAGGTCTCTCCTTCTCTCAGACCTGAGTCTCTGCAGCTCGGGAGACATCGGTGGGTTACTAGAGCCAGAGACCGCCTCAGCCTCCCCTGACCCAACCGGTAGTGGAGCAGCTGCAAGTGATGGCCCAGCTGAAGGCAACGAGGTCATCCCCGCATCTGGAGCCAGGGCAGGCTCAGGCCCCAGACTTCATTCAGGTGATGCCTGAGGCAAAGGATCCAGTGCGGACTGAGACTCCTCTGCTTCTGAGTCCGAGCCCAAGTCCCAGGCCATCACAGCTGCCTCCGGCTGCAGAGTCAGAACATAGCTCAGTTGGTCTGCTCTCTCTTAGAGGATGCTGCTGGGTTGATTGATCGACTGGCTGCATCTATATCTCACCTTTTTCTCCAAAAGGTGGAGAACGTGATTGTGCACCTCTTCGCTTCATCCCCACAACAACCTTGTGAGGTGGGTTAGGTGCTGAGCACCCAAAGTCGCCCAGGTAGCTTCATGGCTGAGTAGGGATTTGAGCCCGGGTCTCTCCAAAGTCCTAGTCTGACACTCAAACCAGTGCACCACACTTGCTCTTTAATTTAATTGGCAGCAGGACGCTCGTCACCAGCCACACATGCTGGCACGTCCCACAAGGACTTTCACCTCAAAGTTGCACAGGAAGAGATTTCTCGGGACACACCTCTTTATGGGGGACAACCGCTGAGTGCCTGCTGTCCACAAGACCTGCTGGAGCACTCTTCCAGTCAGAGATTCCCAACAAGACACGGTTGCTTTATGATTACCCCACTTCCCCCCTCCAAATGGAGATGCCCAAAATGGCTAAGAGTACTCAGCCATCTCCCTATTCTTTTTTTTAATAATAATTTTTATTAATTTAAACATATAAATTATAATACATACCACAAAACTTCACCACTTATACATTCTTCTTCTTTTTTTGGACTTCCATCAGCACCTCTGATGATCCACTGTTTTAACCCCTTCTTATGCATTTCTTAAATTCATATTGCCTTTAATTATCTTAACTAACCATCGTCCCCTTTATCCATTTTTGCAATAGTGCCAAGAAGTCACCTCACAAAACTTCTTGCAAACCTACAAACATAGTCTGATCATCACAATTACTTTTCAAATAGTCAGCCATCTCCCTATTCTTGGGGAACCTGGCAGTTCGAAAGCACGTCAAAGTGCAAGTAGATAAATAGGTACCACTCTGGCAGGAAAGTAAACGGTGTTTCTGTGCGCTGCTCTGGTTTTGCCAGAAGCGGCTTAGTCATGCTGGCCACATGACCCAGAAAAACTGTCTGCAGACAAACGTCAGCTCCCTCGGCCAGTAAGCAAGATGAGTGCCGCAACCCCAGAGTCATTCGCGACTGGACTTAACTGTCAGGGGTCCTTTACTCAGGGGTCTTTTTACTCAGCCATCTCCCTATTCTTGGGGGCCTCAGACACACACACCCCGCCAGGGACACTTGCCCCTTCCCAAAAATGTTTATTTTAATTTTAAAAAGAAGTTGTTTTCTTTGGTTGTTTGGTTTGGGGAGGGCTTCCTGTTGTTTGATCAGTCATATCTGTGCTTTACTTGTTGTGGAGAGGGGAAAGTGTTTCTGCTGGATTTTTTTGCCTGAAGTTTTCCTTCCATGACGTGGGTATTTTGTGAGGGCCATGGTGGTTTCTTAGATCTTCAAATGTGCCCTCAGGACAAAAAAAAGGTTGGGAGCTCCTGATGTATTCTCTCTCTCTCTCTTTTTCTCTCTCTCTCACACACAGTCAAAATATAAACTGTAAGCAACTTGAGGTTGAGGAAGTGAACTATGGAGGATTTAGGACAGGCAAAAGGCATGACTTCTTTGTGCAGCACCTATGGAACTCACTGCCACAAGAGGCAGTGATGACCACCAAACTTGGAGGATTAGACAAATCTATGAAGGAGAGGGCTACTGGTGGCTACTAGCTTCACAGTCGGAGGCAGAAAAGCTTCTGAATTTATTTTTTAAAAAATATTTATTTGATTTTTCAAATAAAAATTT